CACTCACACACTCGCCTTCAAAACCATCTATATACCCTCATCAGACAGCTTCTTATCTGTGGTTGGAGGAACAACGACCACTTTTATCTCATCATTCACTCACTCGTAAAAATGAATATGGCACTGTTCAAGTTTGCCAAAAAGGGTGAGCGACCTCTCTGAAATACTTTAAGAAACTTGTGCTACATTTTTTGATGTGATTTGACTGCATTGTCACACAACAGACTTATACGGTGCACTTTAAGCCACTTTTTTTCTTCATTGCCCGATTTCCCGTTTGGGTAAGACTATTATCAGTAAAATATTTATTTATGTATTTTTAAAAAAACCACAAGGTCGTAGTTTTTCACATTACACTACACATATTTATACTTATAAATAAAAAGACAACTCACTGAAAATTACAAATGTCAGTAAAATGATTCATAATTTTCAGCTAAAATATCGGTTTATCAGGAGGCTTATTGGATGAAATCAGCAGCAGTAAATGTGCTGTTAAAGCTTTTAAACCACGGGGTGCAATGGACAAATAAATCAAAGCAATAAAAAACACTCATACAAAAACTATGCATTTATTGACATTTCATACAAAGACAATTAACTCCTCCTCAAGAAGGAAATTCAGATATTAAAATTGGGTCGTTAGGTACAAAACAAACAAACTCAGTCAAAGGCTGGGGCCGCATCGCAATAGTCTACAGTGGCGGAGTTGGATGAAAGCCAGCACTTGTTCAAAAGGATGCAGGACGGGAGCAGAAAAACCTACAAAGCAACGCACGAAGAAGAAACTGCAGGAAAGCTACAAAAGAGTACCGAGATGACTGTAAGTACATTGGAAAAGTTTGGTAGTGAGAACAGGAAGAGGAGTACGAGTAAGAGGCTGACGAGGCCTTAAAGAAGTGCTGATGTCCCTCTCTTCTCCAATCCCCATGATGCAACACTGGAGCTTTGATTGGCTGCTGAAATGACTTTCATCCTAACAGGAAAGAGGTCAGAATACACACAGAATGAAACACGAGGTGAACAAGGACAGCATGCAACCAATTGACCTGCCCCCATTCTTCTAATAGTAAATAAAATATAATAATAATTAATAATAATAATAATAAAATAATAATATATTATATTATAATTATTACTATATATTTAAAACAATGCTTTCAAAGTGCTTTACGTAGAAAAATAATAGGCAGCATAGAAAATAATGTTAAAAGCAATACATGTGGTAGACAAAACATTAAACACGGAAATAAAAAGCAGTATTGTGCCAAAATGAAATTGAAATAAATTTTTTGATTAGGAAAAAAAGATTATTAAAAATAAATGGATAAAAAATTAGGAGAATACACAAGAAATTAAGGTGTGAAATTCACATAAAAGGCCTGATTATAAAAGTGTGGTTTTTAGGGAGATTTAAAGTGTGATTTAGCTGCCTAATCTTCTCAGGATTGGCCGTTCCAAAGTTACAGTCTTGAGTCCAAATCTTTTACTTTTATCCTAAAAGGGTCCAGTGTGGTTAACATTTTTTAGAAAGCTCTACTGGCAATTAATGAATATAATATTCATTAGGTATGTTTTCATTAGTGTATAAATCAACCTGAAATGAAGAACTACCACCATCAATATTGCCTAAAATAATTCCATTTAATCATTTTTTACCAATTCAATGCTGTGGAGTTTAAAATATACGTTTGGTCTTTTGTTTTCATTGGGGACCCTTTCTTCTCATATCGGATACAATGGGAAAATAATCTACATTTTCTGTAGATGAGCAGACTGGAGCTTCCAAGTCTCAAGCAGGCATTGTAACATTCAACTTGTTTTTAGGATCAGCTGTTTTTTGCTCGGTTTTAAACGTAAATTTGAATGAATGGATTTATTGCTCAGCTTGGCTACTAATTCTACCACTGGTCCTTTAAATTCACTCTGTTGTTGTTGTTGTTTGTTGTTTACCAGTGGGTGACGTCTGCATTCCTCAAACCTGACCGGCCTCCATTCGCTGCTTGCATCCACCTCCATACCAATCTGTCAACAACAATCAAACACACCTCAGTCCAACTCAGACCTAAAGTGTCAACAGCAGCCCAGAAGTAGCATTTTCACTGCAGGTTACACAACATATGATATATAGGAAATAAACAAGATTTAAGGATTTAGAGTCCGCCAGCTGGTGTACTGTTCCTCTTATGTCCTGTTAGTATCTACAATCACCATGCTGTCTGGTGTGTGTGTGTTGGTGTGTGTTGTGTGTGTGTGTGTGTGTGTGCTGTGTTTGGGTGTGTGTGTGTGTGTTTTTGGCTCAACCTTCAAAGTTCGTGCGTTGGTTCTCCGGTTCGGACCACCGGCCATGTGGTACTGTTGAGCGACTGACTGGGTACATCCCTCCAGGCCTCTTCCAGGTTTTGGGCCTGGCCCTCCTGCTGTGCGCGCCGGACAGACCTTCATCGCAGGTGTAGAAGGGACGGGATGTCAGCGGTGGGCCGTGCTCTGGGGTGGGGAGGAGAGCATGGGTGACTATAAACCCTGTTTAGCGTTTAGAAGTAGCATGTTAACCGAGTAACGAGTTGGATCTCGGGCCTTTGTTTAGGGTCTTACCTGGCCTCTGAACCAGGGAGAGCAAGAGCGATGGACCAACCAGAGACAGAAGGAGGAAAATTAAAAAGTCAATGATTTATATTTGGGTTTCTGCAGGTTTCAACAGGCTCATTTTGAGACCTTTTAGGGTCATTATGTATGCAATTTAAGACCTACTTCTGGTCCATGCTGGCAGGCCAGCTGACAGTCTTGCCTGGGCCCGGGACGAGATAATCTTAGATGGGCCCCCCCACGCCCAGATCTCTCCTTTTCCCTATATAATAATAATCTACTTCAAAGGAGAACAGCAAGCATGGTAGGCAAAATAAGGCCTTTTTTGAGCTGCTATCTCTCTCTCTCTCTCTCTTTTCTCTCTTTTCTCTCACCGGTAGCCTGACTCTGTCCCTCCGTTGCGGGGCAGCGGGCCCCTCCCGCATCACTCTCTCCGTCACCTGACTGCAGCTGGATCTCTCTCCTCTCTCTCCTCTCTGTCTCCTCCTCTCTGACGGAGCTACCAAACTCAACTGTTTCTGTCGGAGATAACGTGTTGTGTCAGGCTTTTATACAAGCTGATGGACGTTAACATTAGAGCTGGCCTGTTAGGTTACGTTACAAGGCTGCTAAACGTTGGCTGCGCTGTTTCTTACCTTGCTCTACGTTGACTTTACTACTTCCAGCTTCACCATCACCACCTTTTTTTAAAATCTCTGTTTAGAAAATCTCTAAGGCCTCTATTTTCTTCTTCTCTTTTCTTTCCTTTTCTGAGCACCTTGTGCTGACCGGACCTTTTGAGTGTACTGAACTTCAAATCAAATGACAACATCAAATTTTGATCAGTGGCCAAACCATTTTTATGGGGGGTTCTTGACCACTATTTCAAGGACAATTATTTTGGACCAACAAGCTGTTTATGTCAAAGTTGAGAGCTCCTTGATACCAGAACTTTATTGTACACACTGGGAAATTGTGTGTGTGTGTGTGTGTGTGTGTCCGCCCTCACCGGCCTCCTCCACGTCGTACTCTTCTCCTTCGAAGTCGTTGTCTGAGTCATCGTCCTCTGGGTCGGGGTGCAGCGCCTGGCACTCACACATCGCTGAGAACATGGTCTCCACTACAATTCACACACACACACACACACACACACACACACACAATTAGATGCTACAAGAGGCATTCATTTTTTGAATAATTTCCTAATTAACAGGCTGCATTAGCAGAAAGAATCAAAAGGAAACTAAAACATGTCTTTCAGATTTTGCAGTTTTTAAAGCAGAAGTCAGTTCAGTATTTCATATTTAAAAAAAGGAAACTTCAGCTCTACAGCCCAGTGTCGGGTTCTGGTAGCTGAATAACAAACTGTTTAGACATTAACTTTAACACTGATCTTTGTTTGTGCCTTAAGAGCTGTGGTTTTTACAATGCGGTTAATGGGATTTAAAATCTGTCTGATCACTAATGGTCATTTAACTGACGTATGAAAACATCGTCGTGGCTCAGGCAGTAAAAAAACATAAAATACATCAGATACAAAGTGAATTCAATGCATGAGCCTGCCCCTCGTCCTCAGTGTGGTCGCTCACATGCCGCCTTGTCGCTGGGCACAAATCGAATCTCTGTGATCGCTCCTTCTTCATCATCATCACCACTGCTGCTGTTACTGCTGGCATCGTCTTCATCATCAGCTCCTTTCTCTTCCATTTCTGCCTCATTCTCACCTGAAAAAATACCACACACAAACACACACACAGAGAGACTTAGAAACAGATGCCAAGTTTCAGCTTCCACCTTGGCTCATGTAACAGTGTCCAGTGTGTCCCATGTTGACACTTCGAATAACAATCTGAGTCTTTTAGTGGACGTACATTCACAGGTGTATCTGTCTCCAAGGACTATCTAAGGTTACACGTCAGCCAGTGCAGCCCATTACGCAGCTCCTTCCACGTCTAATGTGCATTTATTTTAACCAAACCAGTGTTGGTGACTGTTGGAACAGTGGAAAGACTAACAAAGACTGTTTCTGTGAGTTTTATTTCATTTCTGTCCACTTTGATGTGCGTTTTACCATTATCTGCTAGTTAAAATGACTAAGTTTGGTGGACTTGGTCTGGTCAGCCGTAGTGCCATTGTGTTGGTCTGAGTTACTGGTGCTGTAGTGCGACCTTTAGTGGCAGTGAACATATTTATTTAGAACCTTTAAAAACCTATACATGTTATGCTCTGCGTCACTCACCCCCCAGTTTGCCGTTGACCATGACGTAGAGGTGTTCCTGCGGGTAAGCACTGACGTCTCTGGAGATGGCGTGCAGGCCGATGGTGGGATACTCCAGAGAGAAACCCATCCCCGAGCCATCGAACCACGACAGGCGCCTGAGGAAGAGAAAACACACAAAGCTGACAGTTGTTGGTTCGGTGGAAGAAGCCTTACCATCATATTGTGATTATTTTGGCAGATATTATGATTGTGATGTGAATCTTGATTAGTGCGGGAAACATTTTGGAATCCGAATTAATTTTTTTAAATCATGAAAAAAAAAACATTACGAGTATTTTTTGGGGGAGAGTCTGTGTCAAACAAACGTGTGGTAAACTTGGAGGACTATTTGTAGTCCAGAGTATCTGTGCAACACTAGAATACTTCACTGTCACACAATTTACCTTTATTTAAAACAAAAACAGCTTCTGTGATATTATAAATATATTGTTCTTGGCCATATTTCAATCGTGATAGTTGAATTCATTGTAAAGCTCAAACTGTAACCATCAATCAACCGTCAAAAATCTGTTTCTTACACTGTATTTACACTATAAAAACCAACTAATGTCTCTAAATCCACAAGATCCAGGAAAGTCATGTCTTGTCGGATGAATTTACTGACTCTAATTTGACTTTCTCGGTAACAAATGACTTATTTTTCAACTCAAATCGATATCTAGTTATTATTTTGAAAGGAACTCCTCCGGAAGGGGTCCACACGCGGAGTCGCAGTTTAATGCAGCATGTCATTTATAACATTTATTCATAAATACACTTAAACTGTAAATCTGCATCATTTGACAGGATATCTGTAAACAAACACCGATTAAACACCAAACCTGAACCAGAAGCGCTGGTTTAAGGAGAAAAACAAGCGCCATGTTCATCACTTACGTTTCCGCGACGTACAGCGTGCCGCAGCCCACCTTCTGGCCGTCCATCACCGCCGTGGTCTCGGCTTGCTCATGTCGCACTCCCTCGGTGGGAGGACGGAGGTTTTTCAGTAAAACCATCGTCCGTGTAACCGTTAAAGTCTGCGGACCCGCTTGGATGAGGCGGAGGGAGACGAGAGACACCAGACTCCGCTGTCAACAAGAAGCTGGTGTGACCTATTTCGTGCCACGAAGCTGGCTAATTTAACCCGGGATAACTTCTCGGTGGATAAACTGCTGTAAACTGTCGCGCTGCTTCTCCGGGGTTAACAGAACCGGGTCGAGCCGCTCCGAGAGTTGAAACCGGCGGTGCGAAGTGAAAAACACGCAGATTATTTACGGTGTTGTTGAAGCTGACTAACGTTACTCCTCATTGTCGACCATCAAAGATGAAACATCGCGGCAAGATAACTCCCCGACAGAAACAAATGACGTGAGCGCCGAGAACAAGGCGTCGTGCGTCACTTCCGTTTGTACGTAACGTCGAGTCTCAACAGCCCTACGTAATTTGAGCATTTTATTTCGAATGTTATTACCGGAAAAGATAATATTTTTTATTATTATATATACAAGCTTTATGTCATTTCTTTAATGTTGTTATTCTTATATGAATCTGATTAAATTAAATGTATTTCCCTTCAAATATCTCTAACTATATACATTATTATTATTACTTTCACAAATATAATTAATATTTTTATTTTGTCTGTTTTAAGTTCTGGTTTTCGTATTTTAAAGTTTCACTAAAGCAGAACAAAAAACGGCTTTAAAAGCTGCTTCGAGTCGTGTTTAAGTTTATAGTTGGAAACTTTTATTCTGAAGGGTATTACCGGAAGTAAACCATGTACTATGAGATTGTGTGTAACTTTACGGTTTGTTAGCGGCCGTTATACTGCAGCACAATGTGTATACTGCCCTCTGGTGGATGACACATGTAACTGCACCTCTATATTATTAAAAATCACAGTCACAGAAATACTTTATTGATCCCCGGGGAGGGAATTGGTTGCGTTACAATTGATCAAGTTAGTAAACAACACATTATACGAAATATAAATAATAATAAGATCTAAGAAAAATATGTATCATAATATACAAAAAAGCCTACAACGCCGCCTAGTTTTTTTATTGTTCCAAATGAATTTAGCAAGAATGTTGTTAATTTATCAAAAAAACATTTGGGAAGCAGGAGCAGGATTGATTGAAAAAAGTACAGGAATTTTGGCAGTATATCCATTTTGATTATATTAATATCATTGAAATTGGCATTACTGTCAAGCGGTTTAATGCCTCTGTTATTTTTTCTGTTAGCGAGTCAAAATTTGAAGATACAAAAGTTTTGATTTGAGGTGTAATTTGAACCCCAAAATAAGTAAAAACATTTTTTTGTATTTGAAAACGGTGTCTTTATCGTTGGTGTTTAGAAATAACAGTGATGATTTAGAGACATTTATTTTATATCCAGAGAACTCTCCAAATTGTTGAATTAATACGATTAGATTTGGTGTACTGTCCTCAAGCCTGGTCAAAAAAAGGATGACGTCATCGGCATACAAAGATATCCTATGTTCTCGCTCACCTATCTGGTTGCCCGTGAGGTCATCATGGGCTCTGACAGCCATAGCGAGAGGTTCAATAGCTAAAGTGAATAGCATTGGTGATAATGGACAGCCTTGTCGGGTTGAGCGCTGTAAGTTGAACGGTTTTGAGACAGAAGAATCTCTGCTACTGGGTTTGTACAGAGAACATGAATCCATTTAAGAAATCCCTCTTAAAATCCGAATCGTGGTAGAAATGTAAAAAGGTATGCCGCGTTCGTTTTGTCCACC